GTTGAACTTTGTAAGAGTATGCCCCCCAGTGAACATTGAATGGATATCACATTAGATAGAACTGCTACTTAATTATACTTCTGTTGAACTTTGTAAGAGTATGCCCCCCAGTGAACATTGAATGGATATCACATTAGATAGAACTGCTACTTAATTATACTTCTGTTGAACTTTGTAAGAGTATGCCCCCAGTGAACATTGGATGGATATCACATTAGATAGAACTGCTACTTAATTATACTTCTGTTGAACTTTTCACAAGAATGAGGAAGGTGTGTTGTTCATTACAGGCACTATGAGAAATGTTTGGAGGTTCTTCCTTGCATTCTTTTAGAAACAGAAGCCAACAAATTGGGGGGAGGGAGCACCAAAAATAAGAAATTGTTCAATTCTTTTCGTAGGCTCTACATCTGGCTTCAATAAAACTTTTTAAATAATATTATTGTGAATTATATATGAATCTTGTATCCTATAGAAATGCAACTTGTTAATAATGATATCCTTGTTGAAAGTTGTGTGAGCCATTGGTCAACTACTCAACTATATTCTTGTTGGGTCTTGCTGCTGTGTTATAGGATAAATGCTTAAATGAACTCCAATTTGGGTGTTCTATGGACCATGGACTTTTATTATAGGATAACAATGTTACCTAGTTTACATGCTTGGCCATATTATAAACATTAACACTGAAGGTTTTATAACTCATTGTTTTATAAAGTATGGACTTTTATTATAGGATAACAATGTTACCTAGTTTACATGCTTGGCCATATTATAAACATAGGATAACAATGTTACCTAGTTTACATGCTTGGCCATATTATAAACATAGGATAACAATGTTACCTAGTTTACATGCTTGGCCATATTATAAACATAGGATAACAATGTTACCTAGTTTACATGCTTGGCCATATTATAAACATTAACACTGAAGGTTTTATAACTCATTGTTTTATAAAGTATGGACTTTTATTATAGGATAACAATGTTACCTAGTTTACATGCTTGGCCATATTATAAACATAGGATAACAATGTTACCTAGTTTACATGCTTGGCCATATTATAAACATTAACACTGAAGGTTTTATAACTCATTGTTTTATAAAGTATACTGCTAAATTGTTTGAGAATTCCTTGCTGTCCATATATCTACTGCCATATAAATGATTTGTTTTAAAATACAATGATATTGTTTGCCGTGTACACTCATTGTGTTGATATAATCCTCTATATCCAATAAACGTACATGTTTCATAGCATACCTTTTTACTACAGCTGTCCTAGTTTTCAGGTAATTCTTTATGGGTTGTACTGAGTAAAAGTATTGTTCACAACGTTTCACTAAGTTTACTTGGAATTATCAGATGAGATACAAAAACTCTGGCTTTTACTCTGTACAACCGATAAGACCTTGTCTGATAGCTAAAAGAAAAAAAAGTTATTTTTAATCTTTAGCTCTCCTGGTTGTTGTGTGATGTATTAACTGTTGTCTACAACTGAAAAGACAAGACGCCTTTGTTAATTGTTGTATTAATCCTGAAAAGACAAGACTTTTGTTAATTATTGTACAGAACACGTTTAGTATTTGAAGTATAGACCTTGTAAGATCGAATCCGTTTGTTAATGACCTCCAGTGGCTCAGCAGTAAGTCTGAAGGCTTATGACGCTGAAAACCGGGTTTCGATATCTTGGTGAGCACAACACAAATAACCCATTATGTAGTTCCGCGCCTAGCTATAAACAAACAATTGTGTGTTTCAAAGTTCTTTAACTTGTACAGAACTTGAAAGGCGGATCACCTTTAGAAAATGTTATTTAGCGCTTGGAAGACAAAACACGTTTAACTGTTGTATTAAACTAGAAGATGGAACAAGTTTTTAACAGCTGATAAGAATACAGAAGAAAACACTTCTTAACTAACGAACAAGAGTAGAATGTCAAAACCCGTTTAACTGTTCTATTAAACTAGAAGATGGGACAAGTTTTTAACAGCTGATAAGAATACAGAAGAAGAAAACACTTCTTAACTAACGAACAAGAGTAGAATGTCAAAACTCGTTTGTTGTATGGAACATTGAAATAACCATTTTTCTATTATTTGTTGTGAAGAATGTTATTTCATTGCACTAACGTGTTTTTGTGGGCATGGAAATTACGAAGTAAACCTGACCCCTGATGACCACAAAACCTTACTAGAACTTTCTAAACGACGAGACATCATAGTTAAACTTGCCGATAAAGGTGGCAGAATAGTAATGTGGTGTAAAAATGTGAACTTTGCTGAAGAACAATTTACTGACAATCGCTTATAAAGTTCCCTAACTACCGACCTGACTGTATCGTTCAACCTCAAAATTAACACAGTCGTTAATGATTTGATTCACACGTTTAATTTCTTACTGGATGCTATCAAGTTGACTCTCAGTAATCCCAGAACTCCGGAATTTTACAGTGTTCCTAAGATGTATAAACCAGGGAGTTTTGGTCGACCAATCATTTTGGTATGTAACTGCCTTACTGGATTAATTTCTTCTTTCCTACTTACACAGAGGCGGCGCACATAAGAGACTCGAGAAGGCTTAGCCTCCCCAAATGGATGTAGAGAGTTCATCTCTGACCACCCAAGGGGCAGCCCCCTTGACCACCTGTCATGGACAAATAAACAGCCTTCCCAAATAAAACTTCCTATACAGAGCATTATTCTCATCAACTCAAAAAGTATTATACAGTGTATGTGACAAAATTGCCTATCAACACAAGAGACTCAAGCGCCACCTATAACTTACATAAAAGACGTGATACCGCACTCCCAATTTTCAACAAGTTTCAATTTTCTGGTAATGAATATCATATGTTTGCTATGGACATTAAAACAATCTACACATAGATTCCACATGAGGAAGGTATGAAAACCCTCAAATATTACCTGGATCTGCGATATTCATTAGACCCCCCCCTAACTCATACCCTCTTGCTGAACTTTTATTAACCATGAACGAGTTCTTCTTTAACGGCACGTTTCATCAACAAACTGAAAGTGTTGCTGGGACACAAAATGGGTCCCTATTATGCTTCAATATTTGTTAGATATATAGAAAATCTGATTTTCTCCACCTTTCAAGGAACGCTTTACTGATTACATTATTGGTGCGACTAGCAGGTCCTTGTGTGAATTAAAATAATTCTAACAATTTGCATATTTCTTCCATCTCACGTGGCCAGTTTCCCGAACGAGATTACCTTTTTGAAATACATTTCCGTTGAAGAGCGTCGTTTAACCAACATCAGTCTATTACCGATTCCCATTTAAACGACGCTCGGAGGTAAGCCAACATCAGTCCATTACCGATTTCCATTCTTACCTCGGCTGTTACTTGTCCCATGCAAGTCCAACAACTTCCATATACCCAATTCTTAAGGCTGTGTAGACTTAGCAGTGGACAAAGCGATTACGAATCAGGATATAAATAAATTAAAGATTTCTTTATACCTTTTTTCTCGAGCTTACCTAAGCCTTTTATAGAGAATGTATATATCTGTTCGAGATCAAAGCCACAGTGGGCTATCTGCTGGATCCACCTCGATGAATCAAATCCGGGATTTTAGCGTTGTAAGTCCATAGACTTACCACTGTCCCACAAGGGGACATTTATAGAGAAAGCCGCTGAACACACCAATTCCGTAATTCGAAATTATGCCCTAAACTCAAGTCTATAAACTCTCAAATACCGATTACCATAATCTGTTCAAATACCAGGTCATCAAACAAAATGTCGATATACCGACGACCCTATAACTTCGAAATACTTGAAGAACGTCCACTCGTCTGTTACAAACATGATAAAAGTATCAAAAATCATTTTGGTCCACAGTATCAATCTTTTTCTTAGAGAAAGAAATACGTTACTTGCCAGTATTTTAACACCATAATATCCATATATGGTCCCATTAGAAAATTCCAAATACAACAGTCATTCACGTGCATTTCGACGAACCTAGTACATTGTGTAATTTGTAAAAAATTTGGTATGCCATACATTGGTCAAATAGATTGCCACATAGCAAATAGTACATCACTTCTATGTAAGAAGTAATGACAGTACGAAACCTACAGGTAGACACGCATGTAACCTCTTCACACTGCATCTACAGGTAGACACGCATGTAACTCTTCACACTGCATCTACAGGTAGACACGCAGACATCTCCAGCCTCTCTGTACTAGGACCCTCATTTGTTTCCTTCACTGTAACACAAAGAGAATGTCCGGAAAACGTCTGGTTTTCAAATTAAGCACTAATAAATCCCTTGGAATGAACCAAGAATTATCTTTCCTTCAACCTTATCCGCTTCCCTTTCCACATTCCTTTATACCTGATCTAAGCTTTCTTATGACGGTCTTTGGTTTGTTTAATTTTGTTCAACTAGTTCGATCACTTACGTTTGTTTGTTATATCAAGCCATTTTATTAACCAAATGTTGATTTTTATAAGTCACATTTCAAATTTACTGTCTTTCTTCGCGATGTTATATTCAGTACCTACACCTTTCAATGTTGTATCTCGTTGGACAATAATATTCGATGCACGCGTTCATTCTCTCATTGTTCAGTGATGTGCATAGAGGTGGGGATCTGGGCTGTCTCCAGCTCCTGCCTTTCTGCTCTTATGCTCCAAAACCGCTCTTTTTCTCAGTAATAAAAAAATGTCCACAACTATTAAAAGACATTTGATTATACCAGAGGCAACCAACAGTAGTCACTCCTAATACCTCCATTCCTCAAAAAACGTCTTGCCTTTCAATGCTTTAAAAGTTTCCTCATTTTATTTTTGTAAATGAGCCCCTGCCCTTTTATTCTTGTTCTACTTATTTTTTATATGTTATTACTCCAGTTTACCGTCCCTTTTCTCGTGATTATTTTTATTTATTCCAAAGTTAGCCATGTGATTATTATTTTGTGTGTATGCGTTACTTCTCGTATCTTTATTTGTTCTATTCTAACATAAAAAAATGTTCTCGAACCTTCAACCCACGCGTTCTTGCTTGTTTTGGTTTTCTTAATTTCTTAGACCCAATCTCTTCTAAAAAATTTGCTTTCTCCTCACTAGAAACCCGATGTTGTCCAAAACGTTAATTTCGTATTTGTCAATAAACTTTAATTTGCCGAACGTTTCACCATGGTTATTTTCTTTTGCTCACTGCACTAATGTTCAGTGTGTTATATAACACACTCATGTTAATATTTGCGTGTTCGTTGAATTTTCAGGGCAATTATAAAGGAACAAGATACATAAGCATTGACGCACGTATGTCCCCGCAATTGCGTGGGTAGGGGGAGAAAGGCCTGACAAACATAGGGGAGAGACAGATAATTTCATTTGTTTTGTTTTTTACTAAAGTGGGGGTTGCACTATTCTGGTAGAGTAAAAACAGAGCAGACTGAGTCTACACACTGACCGCCTTATTTAGTGGTAATGGTGGAAATATCATAATTACAGTTCCACCATACGTACTACGTTCTTCGGTTTCATCAATACGAAACCTAATCGGCTCGAAATTTCATACACGTGTAATTCGAAAATTAACACTAGCTGCAATTTTAAGATTGGTTTAATTTTGAATTTTCAGTTAAGTTAATGCAGCCAGAATCGTAACTACAATTATAGGGAAATAAATATGGGGGACCCAATTACTATCCTATTAATATGCGGGGTTGGGGAATCTTCTGTAGTTACGCTAACATGCATAGGGCTTAGAAATTTTAGAAATGGAAAATATGATAAGTAAGATATAAGGAATTCAAAAAATAAAAAAAAGACCCCGAATCCATTGCACATTTTGTGGGTGATTCTGTGTGCTAACTTTTTTATCAGAATACTAATATACGCTTCCTTTATATCCCATTATTCTATAGTTTTAACTTTTTTTAATTCCCTTAAAGTCGGATAATTAATGCATAATATATAAGATACAGAAGTTAGGAATTGATAGCAAAAATGTGCTGTTAAATATCTTGTACACGCCATCTGTCTTTAATGTACAGTACTAAGTAAAATGAGCTGAATAATACAATAGAAAAAAAAATTACGGAAGTAGAACACAAACTTGTCGAGGCGGACAGGGTGTGTCGCCAACAAAATACATTTTTTTTTTTTTTTTTTACTTTCATTGTGTTCAAATCTGTGGATAATTTTGAAAATACGTAAATATTTTTATTCCAAAAGTACAAACAACTATCGTGGAAAAAGCTGAAAGGCTATGCCAAATTTTTTTCGTTGTTATTCAGAATTACTATAAAAGTTTTATCACAGGGCAGACCAACAAAACCCACGACACAGCAGATCACTTGATTCCTGGTCCTTCAAAGAGAGAAGTAACAACTTAGAGTATACTTTTATGATCAGAGTAGTAGCAGATTTGTCAGTAAATATTTTGTGTGCAACCTATAAAATTAACAATTTCTATTGCGTTTCACAAGCTTTGTATTTTAATGTAGGTGTAAAAGAATTACCATCGAGTTACTAAAGACGTATTTAACTATGTTTTAATTATGCTGGTAGTTTCATACATTACTTTAAACATCACATAACTTTAACCTGAATTAATTTATACATATCTGATCTACTGGTTAATAAAGAATTGCCGTATCGCAATGCTTGCCCTGGATAATGTATGTTGAATTGTAACCCGTAAACATGCTAGCCACTATGGCTAGCTGAGACGACTATCAACCATTAAAAGTCACGGTGGGTACCTAACTTTTATGCAACATTGTTATATTCTGAGAAAAGCCAATAAAAATAAGGCTTCAGTATTGATAAGGCTAAATACAGTATTGTCACTATATGATATCAAAGAGAACATGTCACAGCTTAATTAGTGTGTTTGAAACATTTGATTATTTCTTGATAATATAGGTTATGTTTGGTCCGTTCATAACGAAAGATTAGTCTTCTTTAAGTGTACATAAAATTTGATATTGTATGTAACGGGAAACTTAGCTATGCATGGCAGTAGAAGTGTGTACCATCTGGGTTCCCCCCCCCCCCCAACATAAACGAATTTCGTGTTCACACAAATGGATAAATGAATTTAGATATATATAACGGATTATCACGATCCGTAATCTATCTTCTAGGTTATCCATAGCCAGGTTTCATTCGAGTTAAAGTTAGACGCTAAGAGAGAAAGGGTACCGAGTCAATGATGCCTGTTTGACAGCCACTATCTCCACGTCATCCATTCTGTGTTGATGATTTTTTTTGTGTGTACGTTGTTTTTCTGATATTTTAGTAACAAAGACCCACATTCCATATTTTCCTGTAGTGTAGAACCTAAATATTATTTCTGCATTTCTGATTTGGAAAATATTAAATTTAGTTGAGATCGTATACTACATTTTATCTGAAATATTACTTTTTCTCGACTGTATCTACTGTTTCATGAGACAGTTGTACTGCTTTACCTCGTATATAGAGAACTACCTTGCAACTGTCACATAGAGCAGGAATATTCCCTCAATTCTGATACTCTTCTTCGCATTGGTTAGCTGCAGAGAGAGAGGGAGAATGTATATTGAAAAAAAAACAAAAACAAAAAATGGAAATTTACTCTAACTTCTGAGGAAAGTAAATAATTTATCTGAAAGAAAACCAAGGTTTGCTGTGGAGTTCCTGTCTTTGTTTTACTGGGTTTTAACCTGCTGATCGTGTGTGTGCTGCAATTTATCGCTTCTCATTCCTTTCCATTTCCTTCCTACATTCCTCCTATACCCAATTGTCCAAATATACTACCTGGCGATCTTTCGCCACATTCTTTGCCTAAATAGTTTGTTTTTTATTTTGTCTTGTCGCTACAACTTTCCTTTTGCATTTTAGATTCACAAATCTCTTGTTTTTGTGGAGATCGAGTGACTGTAAGCTAGGTTTATCCGTGTATTACCACAACATTTCTTTCTCGTACATTATTTAGAACTGGAAAAGACATAACTTATTTTACACCACATATACTATCCTACATTTATACTCACGTTCTCAACCCAACTGCAGTCACTGTGAATGCAGGCTTACACTTACATCAACAGTGTGAGTACTGCACACAAAAAAAAGCTAAAAGTTTGAATAAATAAAGCGAACGACATGTTCAAGGGTTATCATCTTCAGAAGACGAACTGGATCTTCGGATAGTTTTAACATGTCGAATTGTGGGCTCGGGATCATCGAACTGACCAGGATATCTGGAACGAACATTAGTCTTGGCTGTCCCGATGACATCATCACTCTTTGCAAGGAAAAATATCCCAATATTGAGTTCTGGAATGGTGTACAACACCGACAAGAAGAACATCATAAACGTTAGGCCAATCAGAAGGTAAACTGAAAAGAAAACGAAACATATATATGATAAAATATTCATAATAAATCTTTAAATAATAATACTTTAAATCTGAATGTGTTGTTAGGGTTTCATTTTAAGTTCAGTTTTGAATTTAGAAGTTCAATTCAAAATTGTCTTAACAGAGAACAATAATAATAAAACAATGAAAATCGTGTCGGTTTTATTACTTTTTGTGTGTGTGTGACAAACAAAAATAGTTTAAGCTAAGAGATTATCAAAGAAAGATTTCAGAATGAGATTTTGAACCTGGATAGCACGACAGATTAACTAAAGGGCCAAGTAAGAACCCCCCCCCCCCCAGTGGCACAGCGGTATGTCTGCGGATTTACAACGCTAGAAACCGGGTTTCGATACCCGTGGTGAGCACAACACAAATAACCCATTATGTAGTTCCGCGCCTAGCTATAAACAAACAATTGTGTGTTTCGAAGTTCTTTAACTTGTACAGAACTTGAAAGGCGGATCACCTTTAGAAAATGTTATTTAGCGCTTGGAAGACAGATAGCCCATTGTGTAGCTCTGTGCTTAACTTCAAACAAACAAGAAACCTCTAGTATCCTTAACTGAGAACTGATAATTTCGATATAAATGAACTGTTCAACAGTATATAAATAAAGAAGTTATTTTATCTGTATTCAGTTATCTCTGTGTGAGTTCTTTATTTCACAGGTAAACGTCCTCGAGTTGGTGGCTTGTGTGCTCCGCTCGTGATAGCACGATCCGAAATCCAAATAAATTTCTTTGTGACGAGTATAAAGTCGAACCCAATTACTAAGCCCACGGGCTGCCCACACGCCCGTTACGCTTAAACGAATTGCGAACAGCAGAATTGACTTGACTGTTACAGTTATAACATCCCTACAGCTGAATATACTGTGTGTTCAGCAACATATCGCGACACAAACCTTTGATCTTCCGATACACAACCCGGCCTGCTAACCATTAGAATACGCCTAGCCATACAAAGTGAGTTTGTTTGGTTTATTTTGAATTTCGCGCTAACCATCCCTAATTTAGCAGTGATGGACTAGAGGGAAGGCAGTTGGTCAACACCACCCACCGCCAGTTCTTAGGCTACTCTTTTACAAACGAATAACGGGACTGATCATTACATTATAACGTCCCCACGGTTGAAAGGGCGAACACGTTCGATGACGGGGATTCGAACCCGCGACTCGCAGATTTTGAGTCGAGCGCCCTAATACCGGGCCACAAAGTGAGCTAAAATAAACGTCATTAAGGGTTAACCACAAAAAAAGAACTGCTTTTTTTAGTTTTTATGGTTTTTTGTTTTTACTTTTCCCAATTGATCGACCATTTATACAGTTTCACAACTCTTGGTTCTGGAGTACAAAGGAAAAACTACTTCGTCACAAAAATACTGTTGGTGTGAACGTGCTTTGTAGTCAGTATGAGAAAAACCTATACACTGGATAGATGAATTGAATAAAAAGTCTCATTGGCCACTATTCAGTTCTTCACATTATATAGTCACACAATAGCAGGTAATAAATAAACTTAGTTGATTGAACTGACCCTCCCTTGAATTTGGAGTTCGAGATTAAACAATTTTCGGAATACTAAGTTAGCCCTTGAGTAGCTTTGCGCGAAATTTAACAAACAGTAAAACATAAAAAATGAAATGCAGCAAATCCAATAACATATTGAGTTTTTTTTGTTTTTTTACAATAAGGAAAGAAACTACCTCTGTTTAGGTTTCTTTTGTTGTGTTCATACCACTGAATTTCGCTGCGTGAAAACATTGCTGCGTAAAGTTGAATGAAAATTGTGAAATGTGAGTGTCCTTGCCAGTAGGTGTGTGTGTGTGTGTCTATAAATACATCCAAAACGCTCTATATGGAAAAATATGCCTCACTTTTCTTACTGTACTAGTTTAATATATTTTTCTGCTGTACACTTCATTCTGAATCTCTAATAACTGTAGTCCAATAACATATTTATTGTTTACAGTTTCGCCTGTGAATGCTATAAGATTTGTTTCTTAAAAACACGAGCACTTAAAAGTTAGTACATTTTATTTCTATTTAGAAATATACGAGTTTAAGTTATAACTTACGTATTTTTGATTAGGGTGAACATACGTCTCGAGAAAGTTTCTCCGAATCGAAAAAAAAAGCGCTCCAATAGAAATAAACATTCAGCCAATTTTATTATTATCATAAGCTTTGGTATCGGATCATCATGTAACGACACTGGTGCAGTCGCTATGGTTACGGCCTCGACGTAAATAAAATAGATGAAATAGTGCACACCGCAATGGTTGTTGGCAAGAAAATTTACTAACATAAACAGCGTCTGAACCATTACTATGTCTGTCGTATCCCAGCCATTCTGTAGAGCCTTGGTATTGAACGAATATCTTTTTTCGGCCCAGGTTATTATATATCCTTCTTTGCTATCGCTCAGAGGTTTTAATTTATATGTTAATAGAGCATTTCCCTGTTCTTTTTTAGAACAACAAAATCTTAAAACAGACACTTATCAGTTAAATACAACAGTCACTAATACAGTAAGCTTCTACAGTACTGGCTGTATCTGCAATAATGGTGACTACACAAGTGTCCGCGGTTTTAGTTAACAAAGTATGACCACCTTGCTTTTAGATATTGTTTTTACACCATATTTACACAAAAAAAGAAAGACTAGTAGTAAATGCGCATTATTTGTACATTAAAAATCATCAGGTTGAAGATGCGTTACATAAAGTACACCAAATAAGATATTTTTACAGCATCTTTATCGGACAGACGATAATCGCAGTATTTTCAGTCAACGCCTTTTGAGAGGCTTCACAACCAATGTTCGAAATACTTATACCGTACAAAACTACTGTACGATAAGAGTTATTATACGCATACTTCGGAACTTAAGTTAAGTTAAACCGAAACTTTATTAATGTTTTTGTATATAACATCGATTCCTTAACTGTAGGACGTCTATATTCATTAGGCCTACATCCATGACACTTCCTACGCAAATCCCCAGGAAGTACGTCATACAAATAGCTTCTACATGTTCCACGTGATTATCAGGTTAAAAGGTGGAGAGAGAGAGAGTAAAAAGACATCTTAAGTGAGAGAACCCAGCGACCCCAAACGGAAAGTTCCGGAAGTTGTTATAATTTAATCCACAGTTAAGAATATATAGAACATGCAACGAACAACAAATTGAGTAAACAGACCTTTGAAAGTCGTCTACCGTTAACATATATGGTTTGCTACACTAACAAACCCTAAATAACAGTTTCTGAGCGCCCTTGGTTGTAGGCCTTAAAATCAAAATTACTGCCAAGAATAAATGAAAAAAAAAAAGGAAAACCTTTGACCTTTACAGCAAGGGCGCAATGATGAGAAAGGTATTGTTCATTTTAGGCATTACTGGATAAGTTTTTCAAATTATTCCTTGCTGTTTTAAGTGTTCCGAGGCGTTAGTGTCCGTTAAATGGTAAAATGCCAAAGCACTGGTGACTGAATTTGATTGAATCTTACTTGTTTAATCATTTCAGTAGACTTACGCCATTGGCTTTTAAATCATGGTTATTTAACGTTGTTGAGATATATTCACTTTGAGCACTAAATTCTATAGAAAAAGGTATTTGATCATAGAACCTGACAGTCAGAAAGATATTCTGAAACTTTCACTAGACCTACCTTATTCATGATTGTGCGAAATATGCTTGGCATAATGAAATAAACTAATAAACATTGCCTTAGAGTAACGCACTTGGAATAAGAAATATGAGTTTGTTAGTAATGTATCTTTCTCACATTCAACTTTTAGTAATCCCGGATTTACCAGCTAGCAAGATCTCCTCAAGTATGTAAAATACTATGATGAACTTAAGTGCCTGAGGAACAACAAGCTGGATGACAGGATCAACAGAGTATATATACACGCACAGTGAAGTTTGGTGATTTGTTGCTATAGAAGACGCCACTAATATGAGTAATATTGGGGTTTATTTAATGTCAAGCGCGGAGTTGCATAATGAGCTATCTGTGCCCTGCCCGTTGCAGGTATCAAAACTTAATACTCCATGTTATAAGCCTGCAGACTTACTGCTGAGGCACTAGGAGGCAAACTTTGAGTATTTTAAGTTCATAAACCTATTGCTGGCCCAGAGAGGGATGGAAAGTGTAATATTAGTGAATAAAAGTATACTAAGCCTACTGGTTTCATTGCTTTGCCGGTTTTTGGCGTTTGTTGTTAGTTATTAAACACAAAGCTACACAAAGGGCTATCTGTGCTCTGCTCACTACGAGTATCGAAACCCGGTTTCTCGCAGTATAAGTCCGCGGACATGCCGCTGTCCTACTGGGAGGCTTTTTGGCGTTTAAATCCAGAAGCAAGTAGAATATTTATACGGAGACATCTGCTACACTTCAATTAGTGAGAAAGATAAGTCAATTCAAATAAAAAATCGGATTCTATGCTGTAATTTCATAAATTAAGGACAAGTTATACATGTCTTCCACTTATATAAAATATTAATTGTTTCTTTATAATGTGGGTAAGACGAGGCCTAATAGTTAGCGTCCCCAAGCTGTGAATATGTGGATTCACGGTTCGTATACCGTTGATGCAAAGAAAACTCACTCCACACTTCGGGGCTGTAGATGTGCTATAAGAGTGACAGTCAAATCTGGTACTAATACGGAATACAGTTCTGACTTTCAATTCATATGTACGTTTTTATATTTTTAATACCATTCACGTCGGGAATTTTAGGATAACACATAAAAATAAAAGTACTATGTAGTGAAAATTTGATTAAATGTACATTCTACAGCACACGAAGTTAATGACTCTGAAACCAAAGCAAATTTGTAAGACCTCGTAGATAAGCAAATAATAAACAGAGTTGAAAGTTATTAATATTTTTGTATAAGCCTCTTTATGTTTGTTTGTGGGACAGAGGTAGGTGGCAAGTGGAGAAATATGTTTTCCTTGCTATAAGTAAGAAACTGCTTTGACAAAAATTAATTGACTATCCATGCAATATTCAGTCAGTCAATAAAATAGCCCAAGAATTGGCGTTGGATGCTGTTGACTAGCTATCTACCTTATAGTCTATAAATTCAAAATTAGGGAAGTCTATGCGCAGACAGCACTTGTGTAGCTTTACACGAAGATTTTACAGACAACACCATTACAATCTATAATTACAGAAACAGTTAAAAAAAACTATGTCGGTTTCGCCTACGTTTTTTACTTATAGCACACTTTAACCGAACCTTGATATTTACTTAGTTGTGAAAAAGTAACGACACCGACGTTTCAAGGTGCACAATAACTTTATTTGTACAATGTTAAAAAAACACGCTCTACATCTTTTGGTGGACAACATGATTCAACATCTTCGAGCGATAGATTAAATGTCTTCACTAAATTGTGTTTCCTTAATCAGTGAAATCCGTCTTTTTTTTTCATTATTTCTTTAATAGGCTTAATACTCATTTATTTCGAACCTTAACTCTTCTACAAGAGCACTTGAGGAAACAGGAACACATTACGTTCAGCTACTTGTTCAGGAGGAGATTAATTATCGCGAATACGTGCTTATCGAATTCAGATGAAAGTTTTAATTAAAACCAACGTGTTACTATGCCAACCTTTTCGATTACAACTCATAAGAAAACTTCAACTTCTGATAAAATTAGATGTTCTAAATCTGCGTATAGATATACTATATTACGTATATTTTGTAATCTTGAACGTACATGCACACTATAGTGAACTCCGTATAAATACCAAGCCGTAGTCCAGAGTTAACGTGCTAGGCTATGGGTCAGAAAATACAAGGTTCGAGCTCGCGATATGCCGCTGAACTTGTTCGTCGTTACAAAAGTGACACCAATCCTTGTTCCTTGTTAAAAAAGTGACACCAATCCTGCTAATCGGTTAACAGTAGCGGTTTAGGCGGCGAATGCTGTTGACTGGTATAAATTGTGCTCTACATGCTTTAACATTAAATCTGAGTTACCAGCGTCCCACATTGATCCACATTTTAAAACCATTGTGAGTTAAAGGCGTCCCTCATCGATTCACATTTTAAAACCATTGCGAGTTACCGGCGTCCCACATTGATCCACATTTTAAAACCACTGTGAGTTAAAGGCGTTTCTCATCGACCCACATTTTAAAACCATTGATTAAAAAAAATGATAGTTATTCGCTAGAAATTTCACCATGGTTCTTAACATCTGTTAGATTTTGGGACGTATGAATGGAAGACTGGGCTTCAGTTCGCTTGTATTGAGAAAAAAAAATATTAGAAATTCCCGTAGAGTCTAACATATAAAAGAAAAACTCATTCATTCGTTCTATGTTAGTCAGCTAGATGATTTCGAATTTTTCTCGGCCATTGATTCACAACGGTGTGTTATTAAGTTATTCATCACGTACTGATTATTCATACGTTGGGAGAACTTACCTTAATTGATGATAATATACTGCAGCAGGTGAAAGTGCTGCCGTGTGAAAATGCGTTTTAGCAATCTAAAAGCTTCTTAAACAATTCAATTACAAGTACTTAAGTTATAACCATGTTTGAAAGATCGCAGCACTAATACAGAAATGCAACTGTGACACAGATCGTATCCAATATCATAAAACTTCTTCAGTTTCCAATTTTGTTTGGAAACCAAGATACACAAAGGACTACTTGCCGCCATTAATTTTGAAATGATAGACTAGACTTAGAGCAGTTAGTCGATTCACCTATCACCAACCTTTGGGCTACTCTTGTCAGATTGAATTGGGGAATTCGACCATCACTCTTATAACGCACCCAGGGCCCCAAACTTCGGGGCACGTTTTTATGTTAACGGGTCGCGAACCTTAACACTCAGATTCACAGTCCGGGCACGTTAACCATAAGCCACGCCTAGGCCTAGTATTCCAAACACCCACAGAAGTAGTACCTGAATAATGTAAACGTACACCTGCTCATGATCAGGAACATGCTAATGCTCGCTTCGAGAGCCCTAACAATAACATATACCACTGAATTAAAATCCCATCGAATTGCTATGTTAACAACAAAGTGAATTATTTAGTCATTGTGATACAATAACAAAAACAAAGAACGATTTACGGAAATAAAAACTTAAGAAACCCAAACATTCTAATGTGCACCCAACCGCACTTAGGCTAGACAAAAATAAGTGTCCATGATTTTTACATACACAAACATCTAGTTTTCGATACCCGCGGTGGACACAATACAGATAGTCCATTGTGTAGCTTTGTATTTAAGAACAATCAACATTTAATTTACACAAAACAGAGAACATAAAGCCGACCAATTATTCTTTTATTTCGTTTTTAATGGTCTAATTACGAGCTTACATATTTTTCTATCTTTAAACATATTTCTTTTTTTTAGAGTTTTCTTTCTAAATACTGATGAAACCAGACGCCGCCACCAGTCTGCTTGTGAAGGAAACAAGATAATACTTTATGTTTCATACATGTATTAGGCAATTATGATATATATATATATACATTGGTTTTCATGTGATAATAATATAACGGTACTGCTAAGAATGTATGTGATATATATAGTGAAAAACAACAGCATTAAACGCAAAAGACTGTCAGAAGTGCATCCTCTTCAGTCTGGAACAGAAGACAACGTGAGACTGAAGAGGATGTGCCGAAACTAGTATCTCTGATATTAGACTTCCGACAGTCTGTTCCATTTACTGTGTTTTTTTTTTCACTAATTGCTACATACAATATTGTGTTATTTTATTATTACATCTGACATATAGTCAAGATAAGTCTTATATTAAACTAAATTTGACATATCCATATTTAGTATGACTTCCAAGAGATCGTGAACAGTTGTGCATCTTCAGGCAGTACTTGTTTCCACTATCATAGTATTAAAAAAAAAAACTTCTCCCTAACCAGAATTAGGGAATTCGATGAGCCAGTTAAGGACAAAAGCAAATGCCCGTGGAATCTTTCGCTTGCCTTGCTCGTGTGCATGGTACAAACAGCTCGTACTAAAGTTTTATGCTTAACAACAAACAAAGAAACAGTTGTCTTTAGTGGTAGGTTGGTAAGCAACCTTCCTTAACCCGAGTTTATGTTTTTCAATCTGTATATTTTTTTATACACTAGCAGAGACCCGCAAAACATTTGCGGCCAAATTAGCATCTTTATTACAACAATACTTCTTTAAATACAGGACTTCTAGAATAATACAAAATAATTTTAATCGCAGACATCAAAGTCTATAAGTCCACTTGTCTTATATAGGCCTAACATTAGTTAAGCCTTTATTTAGTACGGCCTATATTCGATAAAGAGAAAAATTAACACTGTAACTTTTTGGCTTTAGTTCAGTTAGGGCTAAACCTTACCGCACTTAATACTATCAATAAATAATCTTCTAATACTATTCTACGACGTATTTGTTTGTTTGAATTTATGCACAAAGCAACACAATGGGCTATCTGTGCTCTGCCAACCACGAGTATCGAAACCCGGTTTCTAGCGTTGTAAGTCCACAGAGATACCGCTGTGCCACTGGGGGGCTCTACGACGTAACGTTAGACCTTTTTAAAAACTTTCACAAGCTTTTAATATGTTGTATAAAATGTCTACTAAACTATATTTACGTCCTTTCTGGTGTAACTCGACAATTTAATAAAGATACGTTATCAAATTGCGAAAAAAGGTGCAATATTTTTGATCAATCGTAGACTACTCGTTTCTAATTGACAGGAAGCCAAACTACTTAAATTACGTAATAAGTTGCTATGACCGAGAGACAGACAGATAGACACCGTGTTTTATGGTATTAGATTATTTCCAGGACAAAAACGATTGCAATATTACATCGATTGGGTTACGATTTGTTCCGCTGAACTGGTATCGTATCGACTAACTTATGAAATAGAAGAGTACTGATTATAACCTTAGGCAAGTAACACTTACATGCACTACAAACTTTGTACAGAGGGCGATACTCCTGATGAGAACTATCTGCAGGAACATAGTCTCCTAGCCCTATGGTTGTCAAAGAAATGAAACAATAGTAGAGGGCGTCCAAGTAGTCCCATTCTGGCTCCAGGTGAGAGAATATGACCGCAGGAATAATGAAAAATAAAGATAGAACTAAAACCTGAAAGAAAAGAAAAGCTCATTATCGAGCAAACAAATATTTCTTTAATAATATTAATTATCTAGTTTAGGCAAGAGTTTATTATACAAAATATAATAGATCTAACACTCATGTTTTATGACAAGTATAATTAGATATAATCATGCTACGCCAGCTTGGAAAAGGTGTTCATACTGTAACGGAATTTAACTCCTAGTTAAATAATCAGTTAAATTAAGTTAAATACTTAAAACTAAGCTCCAACTATACTTGTTAGAAAAGAAAGACCCGATTTTCACGCTTTCAAAGTTAATTTACTTTAATTCTACTTGGACACCAAGGAACGTTAGCCAAGCCAATAACCACAACCTGTGATCTTTTGGAATACATTTATACTTGTTTTCAATGTAACTGAAATATTTTTACTATTCTTTATATTGTTTTATGCAGGTTTAGAAAGTGTATAATTTGACTCATGCACTGTATTTTGAGATACAAATATTTAACGCTTTCTCTCAGTTGTTAACATTGATTATTTAAATTTTTTTTATTACAGCGGTTATGTAATTGTAATAATTTTCCAGTAGCGAGAAATGAAAAATCTAGAATTCAAGAAAATGGTGGATTGCTTTGTCAAGCACTTCTCAAAATTAGCTGTAATGTAATAATTAAAAGGAGAGAAAAATGTTATATTATGTAAACGAACAAGCGCTACCTACCCCAACTATAGACAGATGAAACATTCGAATATTGAAAGGTTGGAACAGATGTCCAAGTCGAGAGTTTAGGAACTGCAGGAGGAACACTGCTGGTATCATGAGACGTTCCACATAGGCTGATAATAACGTCATTGTCAGAGGAATACCAACCAGTCCGTATATTATACAGAAAATTTTTCCTCCTTGGGATAAGGGTCTTACTTGTCCATAACCTTCACATTCAGATAAAGCCAAAACATCACGAGAGTTGAATATTGAAAACAATATTGTTAACTTAATGTAGCCCATCTTAGTTTTGTGTTGCAGTTGAAAATACATAAAATGTGCTAGAGTAACAATGCTCACTTATGTGCAATAAAGGTATTTAGAAAAATCTATAACATATCTTCTAAAATTCTTGTTTTTCAAGTAATTAATTTTTATTTTTTTAAAAGTCCTTATGTAGTTTTAATTAAAACACCGAAAACAAGTACAATTTTCAAAACATTGTATTTAATTTTAAAACGAATATGACACAGGGTGTATATATCATGAATATACAATGAAACATCAAACTTAAAAAGGAAAAGAAACAGATCCAGTTACAATGCTATAATATAATTCTATTTCCTATCTGAAAAATAAGTTAAATTCCACAGTAAGTTATTCGATGATTCTCTTCATCCCTTGTGTATCAGATTTCAAGACAGCTTCATGCTCAAGGTAGGTTGATAAAAACTATATTAAAAGCATGCTCTTAAGTTTGAAAACGTTAATTTCCACGGAGATATAAACCTATGTGATTTGGCATGATTAACAAGAAACAAAAATACTCAGTTAATTTCGTGCAAGTAGATAAGAATTTCTAGAAATAAACTCACTTTATTCTGCTATATACGTATTTAAAAAAAATCACAAATACAAGAATACAGACCTATTGTTGTCACTACGGTGGTGGAGAAAAACACTGATTGGCCGAAACTCCAGTTGGGTTCCATGGTAACGTTTCGAACAGCTCTGACTCCCCTGTTACTTCCACTAATAATGTCTTTTACAAACGCTTCAAGATCTTCGTCTGCGAAAAAAAAAGAAAAAAGAGGGAGAGAGAGAGAGAGAGACATATTTCCATAATCCTTTTTTATTAACCGATCCTTATTTTCCAATAATAAATTCTAATATCAAGCGAATAAACTAATTTTGTTATGTATGGTATATTTTTGTGAGGTTGAGCGTGAAATTTCTTCGTAAAACGGTCAACGTTATAAATGCTACACACGGAATGTTTTAAGTTCTGGGCATGCGCCATTGTTGTAAGCTGTACGATCTAACGAAGAGTGCTAGCTCGAAACGTCATCCTCTTAAAATATAATATAACTTGGCAATTGTTTAACATATTCTTTAATTTCGATATCTTTGTCGCCTATGTGGTTAACAACATATCTTTCAAAATTTGTAGTGCACACTGGAAGTATTTACACATTTTGATTAAAAGGTCAGAGAAGAACGACCTTTAAACTCCAGATAATTATAAACGAATTTTTTATTTGAATAAACGTTTCGCCTTTGTGGCTTCATCAGGGTTAATACATACAACTGACTGATAGTAGAATATTCGTTAAATTATAAAACTGCTTGTAACATTCCATTTCTCGAGTCTGCCGTAACGTCCGTTTAACAAGGTATAAATTATGAGCATTGTTTATAAAAAACACACAAGAGGAAAGACCGCAAGACGTGGAAAAATAATGAAAAAAAGTGTTCAAAATTGGTAAAACGATTCTGTCTAAGCCTTTTTTCTATGTAACACGGTTTAAACTGCCTGACGAAGGGCTTTTGCCCGAAACGTTGCAAATAGTTTTTGTCATAGACGTGTGTTTTACCAATTTTGAACACTTTTTTCATTATTTCATGATTATTGTTTAATA